CACATAATGTGGTCTAATGTGGAATCACTTGAGAGGGATGTTTCCTTGGGAGTGTGGCCTGCCTCCAGTATATAAACGGATGTTCTGGGAAAGCTCGTTCTCTCTCGACCCTGCTCTCTTCTCATTGCCTGACGTCTGGTTCCTGGGATGTAAGCCTGCAGAGGCCTCCAACCTGCCGCCTGACCCATGGATCTGGGACTTGCTAGCCCCCACAATTGTGTGAGCCACTTCCATTAAGTAAATCTCTGATAGATGTTATGTATTTGCTTCCCTGGTGAAACCAGACTAAGACATGGGGAGATTCCTGGGGTCTTTAGTTTCCTTTCCACTTTGAGTACTTGCTTACATGTTCCCTACCCCACTCAGAGCCAGCTCCTGGAGGGAGTCTGCATGTCCAGCGAAAGCTAGGGGAGGAAGTATTCCTTGCAGAGGGGCCCACAGGGTGCCATGGCCTGAAGGCATCACCAGGCCTGGACATCAGGCCAAAACAGGTGGTTAGGCCAGAGGAGCAGAGCTCAGAGGACAAAATGTGGCTGTTAGGCTACCAAACACTGGCTGAACCTCAGCCAGTTGGCTGAGGGGGTGCCCAGGTGGGCAGGGACATGGTCAGATGGGTGATGTGCAGAGTGGATGCTGGCAGCCAGCAAGTGGGGAGACCCAGCCCTCAAGTTCTGCCAGGACTCCCAGCACCAGCCATGCTGCATCCTCCTCTGAGCTCCAGGGTTCTGATGTCACTGCCTCTTCCCTTGGCTCCCCCAGGCCCAGGAACAGTCATGGCTTCTAGCAAGTACTCTTCTCTGAGTTTCTGCAATATCCGCTTTTGTTCCCAGAGCCTTCCAAAACCTGCATGACCACATTCCTGAGCTAAGTCTTTTCTGTTTGACATGCCCAGTATGGTTTCCTTTTCCTGACTGGACCCTAACTGCTATAGTATTTATTATCAAGAGGAGTCCCAGACACAATAGATGGATCCTGATGGAATGGAAGACAAATGTGGGATGGAACTCAAATTCTTAAAAAGTCCAAGTGGGCTGGTTGAGGCTAGAGGACTCCCCGAGACAACCATCCTGAAAAACACTTTAAACTTTGAACCAAAACTATCCCCTGAGGTCACCCTTGATTGAGGTAAATAACAGATCAGTTCATAAAAGAAAGAATGTCACCCAAGAGTACTAGGTGCAACCTTTTAAAACTCATCTAGATGATAGCAAATGGTTAGCAATGACTCTAACACAAAGATAAAAAGGTAAGGGGCAGAGAAACTGGATTACTGGAAATGGAATCTATAAATTTGAGAACCATGACATCTTGAGAAAAATGTAATCAATGCCACAGAACAATTTTCGTAGAAAAATGTAATCAATGCCACAGAACAATTTTCGTAGAGAACCAAAACTGTTGTGTAAACTTCCACCAAAAAACACAAAATATTACATTAAAAAAAAAAAGAAAAAGAAAAAGAGTCCTAAGAAACAGACCCTCAAACTTGAGATGCTGGGAAAGATTTGGTTATGACCTCAGTCTTGGACACAGTGATGAGCTCATTGCCAGTAGAATGAGCACAGGTGGAGACAAGGTGCCCACTGAACCTAGCACCTTGGGAGACCAAATGGCTGTTTGCCTGGATGGGTGAGGGCAGGAAGGATGACCCTATGGACAGGGTGGGCTGGCTGCTTATGACTGCCCTAGAGTATCTACAGAACGAAGAGGACAAGTTCGGGGCTTTAGATCCTTGCCTCAAGACCCAGAGAACCAGAGAGCTTCTAGGATGGCCCAGAAGGAATGTCATACTTCCCATGGTCAGTGGGCAAATAGAGGTGAAACTCAGACACAAAATTTAGCTGT